CATGGTGTTTATTCCCTTTCGGTCATCGACAGACTTCTGGAGCTGTATCTCACATAAGCGATGGCTGATAGGACCCTGTAGTGATCCAGATATAGGTGACCGCATTCAAAGTACAAACAGGTACACCTTCATGTTATCCAATCAAAGTTCAGGAAGCTGGACCAATGATACACCGGGAGAACATTGCATGTGTTAGTACATGCAATGCGTCTGTGCAAACGGTTACGTGATTAGACGATGACCCTTCAACCTTCTCATAGACTGAAGTTACAAGAATAATGAGTAGATGCATGAGCGCCACCTAGCCATATCGCTTAGTGTCTCTAACCACCGGTGACCATGATCTCTGGGTCCCTAGCCAGGGAGCCTAACGGGACCTATGTGAGCCAGTCTCCTGCTCAGGGTTTTCATACCCTTACGCCAGGTTTTAGCTTGACCGCCCCTCAGTTTTTTCCGACCGCTACCTGCCTCGCTCGCCGTGGCAATCTATCTGGTGACATATGTAGCACATGTCCCAAACAGTGTAATCTATGCAGGTCGACCTGTTCCAGTGGACGACCGCGATTACCCAAAACTCTACGCCTAACCTTAGCATTGCTCGTCCGGTTTAGACACGTGCAATGCTACGTAGACAGCGGTGTTCGAACACCGACAATCTATTTTTATCCTATTCCCGTAATTGTCAAGTCTCTGCGCCGTAAAGCAGAACTGGTCGAACTGCTTCAACATATACTCGACCCTTCACAGACAACCGGATGTCGCGACGACGCCACAGATGTCTCAAGTTGGCAAATGCCAACTAACGAGTTCTCGTTTTCCTACAGTCAATACTATTCCGACTACCACAGATCTATTTGACAAATGAGGCTTGGGCTATTAGTGAGTACAATATCTACACCCCGTTGATGGACGGTTACCGCTAGGGAGTCCAACCACTACCCGATTATCCAAGTGAAAGCAGAGAACGTTGTCAGGGAAGGGGTTTGGAGCCTTTGGTTAAAGAACCTAACCACATGATCTGGGAATTGTTATACCCGTTGGTCTTATTCGCTCAACTTTCAGTGCATCGATTGTTCCTTTTTGATTCAGATATCGCAATTTCGCGGAAACCAATTCTTCTATCGGAATCGTCCTATCCCTAAACTCGGATGGGATATTCAACATTGTAATCATCTTATCTATGTAATCAGACCTCATGATCACGATACCTGCACCTTCGTCTGATCTTGATAACATCAATTATCTATTGAATTGCACCTCTTTGACGTTTTACGGGTTCTAACGTTGATAGTTTTCCATCGCAGTATTGGTAACATGATCTCACAAGTATGAATTTGAGTTTCTCTAACTCCCGAGAAGAAAACGACACCAGTCCGGAAAGTCAGTCAAATAAACTCTGAAATCTCACTGTTTAATCTTATTGTTTGGACAACAGCAACGTCCTATCCAAATTCACAGACGACAAATCTCTTCGGATCTGGAGAGAACTCGCCAATCGGTTTGACCGAGTTGACGCGTTTTCGTACTGGTGTACATATTCACTCGACTTGATTGTCTGCAATCGATTGAACGTAAGCAACAAATTCTTTTCTACTCTATGGTCAGCTCATCCAAAACACACGGGCTAATTTCACTCCGTTTCGGGTACAAGGCTTGATACGAGATCTCGTTCATTAGGCGCTTGTTGACGTAGAGACGGTAGTGAAGTTGATATTTCTTTGGAGCCAGGGTTGAACAATTAGGATTTAAATTGCTGTTCCTTTTTTTCTTGTTGTTAGTCACATTTAACGTTGGCTAATGGCATGATGGCGAGTAACTGAAACCGAAGATCAGGACGACGCTATTGTTGCTTTCAATGTGTTCTGTGGGAAAATTCAAACTTTTGAAATATCTAACCATTGGGTAGGTTGGTTTCCCACTCGAAAGAGTATGGTCGGGGGTGGGTGCCTTGCAACTCGCCAAATGCTCCTATAAGACCAAGCGATTATCAAAACATGTCGCTGAGCACTCTTCCACATACCTCTACTAAAGAACGATTAGGTGCATTCGCAACTCGGTTCTCCGATATCTAGTCGACAGTGGGCATGCTGTGAACAAAATGGATGCATTCAAAATAATTTACACTATATCTCAAAAATATGAGAAAGTAAGAAAGCGCTATTAAACCACTACTGAGGTGATTGCAACTCGCATTTTTAATCCTGAATTACGTAAGCAAAAGAAGCATGCTTAGACACTGTTGTTATCCTGATATGGAGTGAACTGATGGTACATAGAGCAGAATATATATGTATATATATATATATATATATATCAACAGTGGGCAAGATGTCAGCACACTAGTAGTTACTTTTAAATGTTCCCATGATCAGATAAGATTGATCTGCTTAACCAAATATACTCCTCGTGCTAACTATCGTCAAAGGACTCGTTTTACTTTTATGACAACCAAATAAGTTCATATAGCATCATACTTCATTCGCCTAAATGGTATCGAAAAGAAGCATGTTTATTGTCTCATGACGTGGTATGAGTTCCATT